AATAAGTATTCGAAAGAAACTCTGGATATTTGTTTATAAAAAATTTCAATCCATTCATTCAACTCAAACTACAAATCAACTTTAACTAAATATCGCTATCATTAATATTATCAATATAGTTAAATAATATCAATCGATCTTTTAACACATCACATTAACATTTATCCACTATTCATTCACTCACTCACTTAATTTGAACTAATTATCACTTCATCACATCATCTCTCTTCTACTTTTAAATCAAATCAACTTTAATTGTTTTACTATAAATATTATTTTAATATGAACTCAACATTTCATTAAACTTATGTCTTAATTGAAATAATGCATTTTTGCTATCACACAAGAATCAAATCTGAATGCAGAAAAAATTGTAGCCCAAAGTGCACGAGTATCTGGGCTTCACATAAGAATGTGCTTCCTGGCCCAAAATTTATATTAGTATATCATGGCCCAGGTGAGTGATAATTTTGGGCTCATTGAGAACCACAGCCTAACTTGATCCAAATTATAATTTTGTTCTCTGATTTGGAGTGAAATCGAAAAAATAAACACGATTTATTTGTCGATAAAGGCACATACTTTAAGAACATTATGGACAAAGAAAATTAAATTTTCACTATTACACATTTTCCTATTTAATGCAGTTTGATGTGAATATTGTATGCTTTGCTGATGAAAATTGTTTTTTTTCTCATTTATTACCAAAACGTTGATTTTGAAAAAGTTTTCAAAGAATATATATTGTAGGGAGTGGATTGAGACGAAGTTGGTTGAAATGAGAATATTTTTACAACTATAGCAAAACGTTACATTCCTACGAAATTATTAGCTTATCAGATATCAACTATGTGTTGATACAAAAAGTTAGTCAAACGAGCTACTTGTTAATCCATTATCAGCTATCCTAATTGCCAAACAGTTGCATAATCTTTTGGTATTGGTTTTTCTAATCTATCCAGGCATGATGATAACTTGTCGACTCGTATAGATTTGTGATATGAATTTGGAATGTTATTTTTTGTTCGTGTATATATATATATATAGGAATTTTGATGTGTGTTTTTGAAGAACAATTGAATCTGTACTCAATGATCCCTTTTAGTTAGCTAGAACTTAGAAGAGAATAAAAATAATAGTACAACATTTGAATGGTGTGAAATGCATTATACATGTGTTGTTCAACTTGTTTTATTTGTCTTATTGTCCTGCACGAGAGTTATGAGGAGGTTGTTGTACACTGTGCTTGGGAACAAGTACTTGAACCAAAAGTTTCTAGAAACGTCCTTTAATTTGACCATGCAATTTGTTCATAAGATATACTTAGTAGTTTAATTAATGATGATTAATGTGAGATTTGATTGATGAAATAATTGGATTTAAAGTCATAGACACAATATTTGTTCTCCCTTTTCTTTTCTAATTACATTTTATCATTATTACTTTAAAAGCTTACAATAATAAATGAAAACAAAAACCCACTTAGTAGGACTTTTTCTTGAAACTCATGTCTGCATAAAGTGTTCATTTTTAATTTTTTTTTTCCAACCTTGTGCATATAAAAGTAACAAATGATAATGCTGAGTCATATCCAATTATTAGACGGGTCGACTCGTTATGTAGAAAAATTAAAATTATGTGAGAAGACAAATTATTCGTAAATCAATCGCTAAAACCAAATTTGTGGATAAAAACATGGTAACTTTGACATTACCAAGCTGTCGATTGCCAATTCCAGTTTACTTGAAAAGCAAGTTTGCAAGTCACAGTTTTTCACAATAAAAAAAGTACCACCATAAGTAGTTTATAACTAAGTATCACCACTTTATTACTACCTATTTACTGACAAAAAGATGTTAGAGGTTACAAAATAGTGAAAAAAAAAGGGTAATTAAAGTGAGGATTAGAGTTAATCTGACTTTTGACCGTCAAACTCTTGATTAACCAAATGATTCCTCCATTACTATCAAACTCTTCAATTATTATACTAAGCTAAACTAGAGGAAGAAAACTACTATATTACTTTATCAGAAACTAATAAAATATTAATGTGATATAGCCACACTGTCGTATAACGGCTCAATACCATCGCGGTTCAGAGATTACCGAGTTGACTTACGCAAAGTCGACTCTGTCCGCAGATTCTTTATGATATCTCCGGTTAAGGGTCCATGCATTTCTCTCAGTCGACTTCCACATGTCGACTAGCAAAAGTCGATCCCCTCCGGGAAGACGGTCAAGCACGTCAAGGTCTACTGACGATTGAAGATGACCCAGTCGACACGAGTTGGTATCCCCAGCCGACTGAGGAAGTCTCGAGGCTCGTAGATCTCGGCGACTCCAGTACACTTCAACATACCATAGGAAAGTTGTCAAGGATAAGAAGGAGACTACTAAAGATAAGAAGGAATCTAAATGCTGACTAGGAGATGGACGGAATGCGAACCGACCAGGGTATTCAGGACATTTCCAGTGAGCCGGCCAGGGCATTCTGGGGACTTCAGGTAAATGTTTTACTTCTATATAAAGGAGCCAAGGTAACCCAAAAACCGTAACTCTCATTCATTCCATACTCTCCCCCATTACTGCTGCTGCTCTTTCAAAGTAGCTCTCTTCTTCTCTCTCACACACTGACTTGAGCGTCGGAGGCTCTACGTCGGAAACCCCTCCAGCGTTGAGTTTTTGCAGGTTTTCTCGTGGTTCAACAACGGTTTGGAGGCTATCGAGTCAGATCTGAGCTCATTCCCATCGGTTCATTCTGGATCTGGGCGGTTTTCCACCGGTTCACGCCAGATCTGAGAGGAGATCCATCATAATGTTATGCTGATTAACGGTTAGACGGATCATCTCGTCGTACTTATTTAACAAATATGCATACTTATACTATGAGGATGAATTCTGCTTATTTTAGTTTCAAAATTATGCGATCCCAAATAAAATTACGTATATATACGAGTATTATGTAAACAAAAGTTATTATACGAGACAATATGACCATTAGATATGTCAATCCGTAATCCATAATATGATCATTAGACAATTCAATCCGCTACCCTTATAACAAAAATTATAATAAATACATCTATCAGGAAAATGCTACAGTCCCGTTACGGAACCATTCCGTCGGAATTTGTAACCGTTAGATCATCATGTAACTGTTGAGGATAGTTGATCTAACGGATACAACCCCCGACGGAATGGTTCCGTAACGGGACCATAGCATCTCCCCATCTATCATAATAATATGAATCTTTAACCCCAGAAGACAAAAGGAAAATTATAATATTAAGTAAAAGTTAAAGCACCCGACAACTCTCAACGTCTTCTGGTCCAAAACAGTAGTTTAGCCCAAAAGAATCAGAAAGCAACAAAACCAAAGCCAGCCCAAATGATGTGATTTTCAGGGACAGCCTAAAACTCGGAAGTACAATCACTAAAGCACGCACCGTACAACCCCACAAACAATTCATTTCAGCAGGAAAAAAAAAAATACATTTATTTAATAATAATAATGATGATAATAATAAAAATAATAACAGTAAATTAAAATCAAATCAGTATTCTAATTACAAGAAAAAAAAAACGATTTAATTAATTAAACCATCATATAATATAATTTGCCAACTCTCATTTATCCACAGTTAACCATCATATAATATAATTTACCTAAATTTAATCAAAAAATAATAATATAACTCCATTTTTTTTTCCTCCAAAAAATCGTGTGGCACCCAGACAGTTTTCATTTACCAAAATGCACTTCCAAGCAGAAACCATGTAATTCCAATTTTACCCTTTCCACGCTATGCATTGCGCCGTCGGCCTTGTTTTCTGCTTGCCGGCTTTCAACGGGCACGGCGTCTCCACCGGCAGCACCATACAGTTGTACTGCAGACACAACGACGTGCTCAGGGGAATCTCCGCCGTCGGATTAATCTCGATCCCGGTCAGATAATTATGCTGCAGGTACAGAAGCTGGAAACTCGCGGATAGTAGCCGGTCGACGAAGCTTCCCGGCACCTGCCCCGTGAACCGGTTGTTGTTGAGGTAAAGAGTCTGGACCGTCGAAAAAAGCGGCGATATCTCTCCGGAGAGGCGGTTGTGGCTCAGATCGACGGTTGGGATCATCACCTGGTCAACGGGTAAGACCCCGCCGGAGAACTGGTTCCTCTGAAGCTGGAGGTTGCTGATCGGGAAAGTGAATATGTTTCCCGGGATGCAGCCGGTGAACTGGTTCAGGCTTAGGTCGACGTAGTTCAGCCGGTTCAGGCGGGAGAGCAGCCGGTCGACGGGTCCGGAAAGCCGGTTCCACGACAGGGAGAGGTACTGGAGAGACGGCGGGAGCCCGTTCGGGGGGATCGGGCCGGATAGGTCGTTGTGCTTCAGATCGAGCCGGGTTAATATTCTGGAGGTGAAAGGGGGGACGGTGCCGGCGAGGCGGTTGTGGCAGAGGATGACGTTGGAGAGCGCCGGCAGAGCGGCGACGCCGTGGGGAATGCCGCCGGTGAGCTGGTTAAAGCTGAGGTCGAGAGTCTGCAGCATCCGAAGCTGGGAGAGACCCTCCGGGATCCCGCCGGAGATGAAGTTCCGGCTGATGGCCAGAAACCGCAGGTACTTCAGTTGGGACAGAGTGTGGGGAAGCTGCCCGAAAACCCGACCGGGGACAACCGTCAGCTCCGACAGGGCGGATAGCCTGCCGATACCCGAGTCGAGCCTTCCAGTCAACCCGGGCGAGCCGGCACGCGGGTCGCCGAGATTGAGCGCGACCACCCTGTCGCCGTCGCAATAGACGCCGGCAAAATTACAGGGATCGGCGGTGAAATCCCAGGAGGAGAAGTAATTAGAGCCGGGCAGATCGGATAAGCCTTTTCGAATCGATTGAAGCGCGAGGAAATCAATCGGGTCAAGCATCGCCTGCGCGAGGAACAAAAAATGT